AAAAACTGCGATGAAATTTGATTACAGAACGGCAGTATTGTTCTATGGAGAATTATATGTAATGGGAAAAAGAACATTAAAATTATTGCTAAAGGTACAATTAATGAAGAAGCGAATTGCATTTGTCGAAAAGTATCAGAAAAGTTTGTTTTTCCTTTTTTGTCTTTGAAATTTTACTAAAACTTATTTTAATAGTGACAACTTTCAAAGTTCTGATAGTGCTATCTGTTTTGATAGTGATTCTAGTTCTGATAGTGATACCTGTTCTGATAGTGATGCTTCTAATTATAATGAACTGATAGTGATACTTCTAATGATGGTGATACCTGTTCTGATAGTGATATCTCTTCTAAAATAATGATCCCTATTCCAATAATAATGACAATAATAATAATAATAATAATAATAATAATAATAATAATAATAATAATAATAATAATAATAATAATAATAATAAAATAATAATAATAATAATAATAATAATAATAATAATAGTAATAATAATAATAATAATAGTGATAATAATAGCAATAATAATCTCTACTCCAGTAATTTTAATCCTGATAATAAATTAAGTATACGCTATACAGAGGAGAAAAACTCATGAAAGTTTCCATGGAATTATTTTTTGTTTAATTTAATGCAAATAAGCTAGCCATAGTTGATAATAAATTAATTCAAATTCAATTTTAAATAAACTTTTTGCAAATACTTTTAGCATGTTAAGATATCAGACAATAAATAGTTACTTTTAAACAATAACAAAATTGTATTTCAGCAAATTATCCGAGCATGATGTTAGCAAAGAGATAAATGTTAAACATGAAGAATTGAATGAACCACATACTATTGTTATGTCATCAGCGAATGATGTAATAATAATTTTGAAATTTTAATTAAATTTAAAAATTGTTTAAAATCTATTAAAAAATCTATGGCTAAAGTAGCTTTCTTACGTACTATTTTTCTAATTTATAGCTTAAATTTGATAAAATTGTCCAATTCATTCCAACTTTTTCCGAATTGAAAAAATTTAGATTTAATTTTAAAAAACAAATAGAAGAGAACTATGAGCTTGCAAAGAACTCTGAAAATATAAGTTTTGTATTTTCTAAAAAAAAAAAAAAGAAATTTAGGAAAAAATTGATTCAAATGAATGTTTCATTATTGGTGGTGCTAATGGTGGCATTTATACCTTTCATTATAATGGTAAAATTCGAGAAATTTATCGGGTATGGTACATTTTTAAATAATTTTAAAATTTAAATTTTAGAACTTTTTGAAGTAAAAATGTTTAAATTACTTATTCTAATTGCCAAAGTAAATTGAAATAATTTCGAACACTTAATAAGTGAAAATATTTAAATTATTTACTGTATTTGTCGAAGTAAAATGAAATAATATTTAGTTGGATAGTTCAGTGGTACAATTATTTTATATTGAAACGAAGGATTTATTATTAGCTTTAAGTCAGGAATTATTTCTTCATCAACTCATATTAATCGATGATAATTATAAAATTGAAGAAAAAATTCGTGTATGTTTTGTATTTTTTAATTTTAATTATTTTATTTGAAATATCATTAAAATTTCGTTTGAAAATTTGGATTTATGATTAATTAATTCAAATTTATGGGAAAATTTAAATTAAAATTTATTTTAAAACCAAACGAATATTTCGAATGTTTAGAAGTTACAGTTGTATAAGTTAGGAAAAACTTGGTCTAGAAAACAAGGAGAAAAAGGAAAAAAAACTGAAATCTAGTTTTAGGGTTGAAATAATTTCAAAAATTTAAAATTATAGCTATAAGTTTTCTAATATCTTGAAATTTAATTTTATGTGAAAGCAATTTCAAAGATTTAAAGTTGTATCTATAAATTATCCTAAAAAAAAAAATATCCTAAAGTATCCTAAAAAATATCCTAAAGAAAAACAAAATCCTAAAGAAATATCCCGAAAAAATATCCTAAATAAAAAAATATCCTAAAATATCCTAAATAAAAATAAAATCCTAAAAAAAAATATCCTGAATTATCCTAGAAAATATCCTAAATAAAAAAATATCCAAAAAAATATCCTAAAATTGATTTTTAGGTTAAAGTAAATGGAAAATGGCCAAATTTTCAAATAATAGCAATGAAAACTGACATGATTGCTATGTGTAGTGGTGAAAATGAAATAAGGTACGGTATTTGATCAGATAAATAATTACCATAATTTACTTTGTATATGCCAAATATCCGATTACTTCGATGTTTTTTTTTTTTTTTTGGCTATATTTTATCATACAAATGGTAACTTAAGTCAAATGCTAATGAAATATTTTAAAATGACAAATATGATGACAAATAATAATTTGATAAAATATATTTCCCTATTAGTTTATTTATCTTTCCTTCCTTATTAACTTTAAATTCTGTAAGATAAAATTTTGGGCAAAAACAAAATTTACAATTAAAAATTTCTTATAATTTTTTAGAATTTGGGATTTAAAAAATGATGAGAATGGAGCCGTATCATTACGAACAACAAAAGGTTTTAGTGCAACAGATACTATCACTTGCTTATCATATTCAAACATTAAAGGTACATTTGATAATTTCAATCCTAGTTATAGTTCATAAAATGTCATAATTTATGATGAAATTTTCTCGTATGAAATCTATCAGCTAATAGGAGGAAAAAGCTATTTTAGATTAATTTTCAGATTGTTTATCAGCTGGAACTGAAGCTGGTAAAATTGCTAATTGGCGACATTGTCATATAGATGATGAAAAGCTCGATAAGCAATGGATTTTGCAGGAAGCCGTTAATATTGGTGCTAAAGTATGTTTGTCAAATAATTTTAGTTTAAAAAATTTCTTTTATATTTTCAAAATTCAAATTTTTATAGATTACGATGATTAATTGGTCAACAATTTCCGGTATCCTTGCTGTTTCGACAGGAATTACCGTAACATTATTAAAGGAACAACCAATTCTTGCACATATGAATGAAAATGTTGGATAGATAAATATTTTTTATGCATTACAAATTTTTCAATTATAATTTATTACCAATATTGATTTCATTTTCCTGATATTAATTAGAAATTAGTAATTAGAATTAAAGATTTTATCGCAAATCACCAAAATAATCGTATATTAGGATTTAATTTTTTTTTTTTTGATTTAATTAAGATTTAATTCGGAATTTATCTCGAGCTATTTTCTTAATTATCAAGTTATATTTTAATCTTTTGATACTTTTAATTCAAATTATTTTCTTCAAAGGATCACTGATACACAGAAATTTTTTGCTTATTTCTATTCAATTTCTTAAATTAGAACGAATAACAAGAAATTAAAAATAGCAATACTTAAAAATAAAAATTAATTTTTCTTAATGAAAATTTTCAAATTTTATATTTTTATTATATACAGATAGCAGTACTACAAACAGGTTCAAAGAAAATTACACTTCTTTGCTTACAATCAATCGAGCAAAATGATATACGCATATCAATTATTCCAAAAGGTCTTCATATAGGTGATAAGCATTTGGCACTTTGGGATGATCAACAAGTTAGTGATAATAAAATTTTTTTTTTTTGACAAATTTATTGAAATATTAAAAATAAAGCTATTTTCTATCATTTACATTTATTATGCTTTATCATATCTTTTTCTTTCTGCAAAAAAAAACAAAAGGAAATGAAAGAAGTTAGAATTGCTGGAATTGAATAACCGGATCTAGAGTGTAATAAATTGTTAAATAAAGAAAAAATCTAATATTTAATGTTTAAAAAGTTAATATTTCAAAAAAAATTAATATTTAAAGTTTAATAATTTTAAAAAAAAACTAATATTTTAAAGTTTAATATTTTTAATAAAAATAAGTGTCCCTAGTTAAATAATTTCATATCATGAAAATGCGAATGAAACGCTGATCTATTCAATGATAATCATTTGTTGATCATAAATATCGTAATTAATTTTTCATTTAAACATTTTCATGCATATTTAAAACTCAAAAGAGTTAATTTGCATTTTAGGTATATTTATACGAAATAATTAATGAGGAAAATGTAAAATTAAACGTAAAATTGGCAGCAAATTTTAATTGTTTGACTTCAAGTGTTGCTGTATATCAACAGAATATTTGTTGTATTGAAAATGATAAAATAAGAATTCGAACATTTCAGGTTTTTTTGTTTTTTTTTTAAATTTCAATCTTTTTCATGAATTTTGAAAAGTTAAATTTTTTTTTAATTTTATAATTTGTCATGAATTTTTGATAATTCACATCCGTTTTTGAAAATACTTCGAAAATCAATGGTAGTTTTAGGGTAAAATAATTGCTAAAAAAAAATATCACTAATAAAAACTTAATGAATTATGAAAAAAAAGAAAAAAAACATATCCTGCAATTTTAGGGTACTGTAAAGCAAGTAATATCGTTACCAGAAATGGAAGGTAATCCAGTAATGATAGATATTAATAATTATTGGATGTGTATTGTTAGTACTAATGGATTTATACGTATTTATGATCTATCTGCAAGGTATGAAATTATAGAATAAATAATTTAATTAAAAATAAAATTTAATCTTTTTATAAAACTTAATAAGCAAAAAAAAAAACTTAATCTCTTTATCTTATAATATTATCAAAAATAAAAATTTAATCTTTTTGTAAAAGTTAATAAGAAAAAAAATCTAATCATTTTATTTAATTTCTATTTTAATTCAATAATTTATTTATTTATTACAGGGAAGCACATCAGCAATATCATTCGAAAGATATTTTAATAAAAAAAAAAAAAAAAAAA